TTTTTTTCATCATTTCTGCTCTCAGCTTATTTTTCTTTTTCTTGAAACATTCCGCAGTTGAAGTAATCAACTATGAAAAGTTTCACTTAAATATCATTATATAATAATTAAATAAGAAAAGAAATTACTGTAATATCAAATTGTCACATCCAACCATTATTTCGTAAATTACCTATTACTATCGTTCATGATGCATCTTTCGATGCTCCTTCAAATATGCCATTCATTTGCGCAAGTGAAGAAAAAGAAAAATAAACTTTCGAGCACCGCGAAACACATGCCGTTTCAATGCGTATAACACATTATGTCAAACTATATTATTTCTTAACAAATAACTACTAATGTTAAACTTGACAAATTTAAGTGTGATAAAGACAAGTTATTGTGTAAGAATATATAAATGCGTAAAAGAGGATAAAAAAAAAATGAAAATTAGTAAAAGTGAAAAAAACACATCTGGGGAGATTTTGATTCAGAGAAATTTGTTCGCACAACCCGAAGACAAAAAAGCAGAGCAGAAAAATAACCCTGCAAACGAACAACAACAGGAACTTTGAGTTGAAGTTCATTGACAGCATTGATCATACCCTGTGCAATGACATCACAACGCATGATACCACCAAAAATATTCACAAGGATTGCGTCAACCTGAAATGAAACATGCATATTTAAACGATAATTTGCATTTTCATAAATTGTTTTTTAAAAAAAGAATGAAAGATGAAAAATTTTTTCCACAACTTTTAGTTAGAAGCATAAAAAATTTCTTACCTTATCTTTATCGGCAGTGATAATCCGAAAGGCCTCAGCAACTTGCTCAACAGTAGCGCCACCTCCAACATCAAGGAAATTTGCCGGATCACCACCATGAAGTTTGATAATATCCATAGTTGCCATCGCTAACCCAGCTCCATTCACTGAAATTAGCATAATTAAATAAAAATTTGTGGTAAATCTCTCTAAAAGTATAAATTTCTAGCAATCCTCCAGATCTTGAGATGAAACGATTATATTTTAAAATTCCGAAAAAACAACTTTCAGATCACTTTTGGCACAATAGCATATTAAAATTACCCATACAACCGATGTTACCATCCAGTCGAATATAATTAAGATCAGCTTTTGCTGCGCGCAATTCCAGAGGATCTTGCTGCTGCTGATCTTCCATAGCAAATAATTCTGTTTGCCGATGACTCGCATTTGAATCAATATTCAGTTTACAATCCAAACAGTAGACTTGAAAAAAAATTCTATAAAGACATTGATAAAATTTTATTTGCAGTTTACTATTTGCAGTTTCTTCGTGTCGTTGAGTAATTTTGTAATCGCTGTAAGATAAATTTGAAGAATTCTCACAGATAGCATTTAGAAATGATCTATCAAATAAGATACAATGCAAACAGGACAATTTATGGACTCATCGTAACGGTCGCAAATAAACTACTAACTTTGGTGATTAAAATTCACCTGTTATAAAAGTTCTCGACATACAATGCAGTGTCTCGACAAATGACATGACAAGCATCGCGGTAAGAGCCCAAAAGATATAAATTCAAGACTTTATTAAAACTAACGTTTTCCATTGATATCTTCTGCCATTGGATTGATTTCAATAAGTGTTGCATCATATTTAATAAATAAGTTATATAATTTTCTAAAAATATCCGCTGCTTGCACCTTGAGATCATCCTGAAAATTTCAGTCAATTATTTCAGTCCCATCAAGTGACATTTAGCTAAAGAATTATACAATCCATGATATTTAATGCGTTGTCGTTCTCTCTGAAAAGCTTTTTTTTGTGATAATGTGATAAAAAAAAGATGTTTTCGCTCGAGTGCGAAACATGTATAGAATTATTACTAGTTTGCTAGTGAATTTTTTCATTTCGATTGCAAATCTTTTAACTTCCAAGACAGAAGAAAAAAAATACCTTGAAACCCATCTGATCGGCCATTGAACTGGCTTCTGCTTCTGTCATACCTTCAAATATGTTGATTGGACACTTGACAATAGCCTTCGGATCTTTTGCAGCTACTTCCTCAATATTAACGCCGCCTTTCGACGAACCTATAGCTACCGGACCCTATAATAATGTCTGTTTTGTTCGGAAAATAGAGATAACATTAGGAAAAAAACAATGGATGAGGAAAATAAATGTGAAATACTTCGAAAAAAAAAAGAATCCAAACGAAAAGAGCAAACTAAATAAAAGAGAAGAAAAATTGACAAAAGGAGAGAAACTAAGTAGAAAATGCAAGCTTCATAATGTGAACCTACTCCGGTATGCCGATCCATTGTAATGGAAAAATAGAACTCCCGTCGCGTAAACAATCGTTTGCAAATCATTACTTCATCGCAAAGTTTACCAGCTGCGCCTGTTTGTTTGGTGAAAATTTTCGAACCCAACATCATTGAAGCTTTCTCACGTGCTTCTTCAGGACTAGAAATTCCACACTATATGTCAGAAATATGAAAAAATAAGTCTACTGAATTTTATTGCACCTCATTTCTTGTTTTTTTTTTTTTTAAAGAAACAAGCTAAAAAAGGAACTTACGAAAAAACGAGTTGCACTCCACCTTCTAAGCCTGACTCAAAATACCCTTTCCCTCGTCCACCAGTCAGTACTTGAGCTTTTACAACAAGATCTTGACCACCTGCAACAAAATCGATATATGAATGATGGTCCTACAGATTAATAAAAATTCATTATTATTACATTCATTCATCCAAATCAATGAAACCAATTCAATCAACTGATCAAAATGAAGCCCAATGCATCATATTTTGCAACAGCAATCCAAATATCATTGCAACCCATTAATTGCACAGCAACTAACTAATACAAAATTCATATTTTTGGAAACGAGTTAACTCTGACAAAGTAAATATTGAGTGATTTCTTGTATTTTGTTCATTGTCAATTAATAAATGACATGACAACTTTTCATTGTTGAATACATAAACTGACCAATTTTTCGAGCTTCTTCAAACAATTCATCAGCACTTCGGGAGACACCAAATGGTGCAACAGGTATGTTGGCCTGTTTAAGCAATGATATACCTTGATGCTCTTTAAGACTTAGTTTGCGTATAGCGGGCATCAAAGCCTGTAGGAAATTATAAAGACAATCAAAATGAAATCCAAGCAAACATTTCCTAAACATCGTTTCAAAACAGGGACATACTTTATTTCTTAATCCAATATAGAAATTTATTCTTCAACTCTACATCGTATCAGCGATAAGGCACGAAAATTCATACCTACGCAATATCTTTTGGTTTATCGTACATTTAATTTTACACTAAGTAGTTAATCTCTGAGTTTTCCTTTGTTTTGATTAAATATTTTGGAGAAATGCATGAAAATAAATAAAACCTTGTAGGCTTTTAAAAACAATTTCTGATCCCAATGAAACATTGTCTAAGTTACCAATAATTATTAAGGATAAAAACCAATCTGAAAAACAAAAATATCAACATGTACAAGGCACATAAACAAATCATTCTACTACATAGTTCAGTACGTCGGACGAAGTGGTAATGTTCTCTGCTATGGAGTAAAAAAAAAGCATAGTAAGATATCAATCATATCACAATTTAAACAGAAATCACAATTACCTAAAAAAGTAGATCATCAAGCAATAGCAACATTTTAGCGCATACTCAATTATTACTTAATTAACATTAATTATTGCCTAATTAATATTAATTATCACCTAATCAATATCAATTATTAAGACTCACTTGATTAATAGAATATTCCCCTCTGCACTTGCAAAGTTATGTTTAAGATATCAAGTATCAAATGTGAAAACTTAACGAATTAACAGTGAACAAATATACTCGTCATAATACATATTATCAAATTTCAAACGTAAGAATTCAATAAATTAATATTGAATAAACATATTAGCAACATTATATTTTAACGAAATAAATCATTTCTAACCGAAATCCAACAACTGATAGTACCATAATAAAGCAATTCTAACAACCTCCGTGCACCAAACTATCTGCACTACCCGTCAGTCAGTCCAAATCATGTGCGTGCATTATGCAACGCACTTTTCAAACTGCACAATGCAAAAACGTTTCCCAAACTGCACACTTGCTCTGTAAATTTTGCAAAATTTGCCCATCGATAAAGTAATGCACATAAATATAAAGTTTGCATCAAAAAAGTGTGCCATTTCATAGAAATTTACGAATAATTATTTCACTTATTTTTTAAATTGGATTTTAATAGTTTGTTTACATATTGTTATTTACATTAAATATTGTTATTAACATAAATGATATTGCATTTGACAATGTTTAGACGTTAAGATTATAGGAAATGTAAAAACATTTAAATTGTTTACATTATTTGTTTTTAGACTACACATAACATACATTAAATAGGAATGCAATATTATTGAAATGCTATCGTTTAATGAATGATAAGTTAAACTTTAAGTACATAATTACATAGGTAATCAGTAAAATTAACGTGGTAAAAAGGTATAATATTGAAGCAATATTTTTTTGTTTCACACTAATGATACAATCATTCAAAATTTTAATTACTACATAATTCTTTACAGTGTCAGAAATTTACATTGCCTTTTTCATTATCGATTTCCAATTATTTGTTATTTTTTTTTTTTTTTGAAAAAATTCAGCAATAATATTTTATCATTCTTATTAATTGCTAAGTTCGATATTTGCCTTTTTTGATCAGAAAAAAAGTCAGTGCAAAGTATTGTTCGTAAAAGAAATCTGGCAGAAATAGTTTTTTCTTTTTTTTAAGTAACATTCTTTTTTTTTAGTTAGACAAGGAGAAAAGCGAAGAATTGACAATACGTATGCGTTCTAAAATTTCAATTTCAAGAGTAATTCAAATAATACAGTGTAAAATAAATCAAACAGTTGAATTTTTTTCCTCAGACCTGCAATTAATAATTACAGAAATGTAAGTTTTCAAGATAAAATTTAAGTCCATATGAAGGATATTTTTAAGAAATAGTTACAATATATTAAACAAGTGATAAAACAAAACTATTTAAAGACCAAAATTTACCATATAGCAAATGATCAAAATTCAAAACAATAACAGTAGTAGTAGTAATAAAAATTTGAATTTGAAAATTATAAAATAGATTACAAATAGTATTTACACATTTTCTTTATGAATTCAATTTTTTTTTTCATTGGATTGTAATGCATTCATTCTTTTCCTCATTGTTATCACCATTATCATCATCATCGTCATCATCATCATCATCATCATCATCAAAATTTTTAATTTCAATAGCATTTTCATAAAGTATACTTCGAGGTATTTGTATGCGTGCTATATTTCGACCATATTCATCTATTGATTCGCAAATTACCATATTTGATATCGTCGTTTTAAATAGTTGTTCTGGTGTTGCCGCTAATTCAACCATTTTGCTACAATAATTTCACGAAAAATTTTTTAATATTCAGTAAACTAAAGAAAACGGAAAGAGAATAGCTGAATAATATGAAGAGATTACGAACACTCAAGTTGATACTTTAAATTATTTCAATAAATAATCAACACATATCGTTCCTTTATGTGTTACTTTTAATCATTTCAAGAAGAAAAAATGATTTGTATTCTATTCGTTTTCAATTATTTCATAAAAATGTATTTGTATTATATGTCAGAATTTGTCATTTTCATTATTTTCAAACACAATCAAACAATGTCATACTTGTTTACTTATTAGACAGTTTCAAAAAAAAAACAGTTTAAAAGGTCATGTTGTATGTCGGAATTCGATTAGTTATATCATTTTTCAATCAATCGAAGAATGTATATATGTTTATTTGTTGGTGAAGCAAAAAAAAAATAAACAAACAAACAATAACAAAAATGAAAAAAATTTGCATTATACGCTAAAATTTCCACGTCATGCTTACTGAATTAGTTTAAGAAAAAAATTTCCGTTTCATTTTCTATCAACTTCATATCAACTGAATTAGTAATGCTTGTTAAAGAAATAAAATTATGCTTATTGGATAAGTAAAAAGAAGAAAAAAAAAGAAAGAGCTAACAAAGTACTTTGTTGCTGATTTTGTATTTCCTGATGTATCCGTGCTTATTTGTTGCTTACGTAATTCACGAATCATTTTATGCTTTTTTTTCGTCCTTTCCATTAATTCATCAAATAGTTGAACTTGTTTTTCTGCTCTTATCATTTGACTGAAGATAGAAAAAAAAAGAATCGAAAAGAAATGATTTACTGAAATATTTAAATGTGCAATGATTAGAAATATAATTTGTTGCAATCAAATTTTGAATCAAAAATTTTGCAACTTTAATTATACGAAGAAATTAAATGCTATATACTAAAATATTTTGGAAAAAAAAAAAACTAAAAATACTTTCGTCGCATATAATAACGTATGATAAAAACAATAACAGTTACGAAAATAATAACGAATGCCATTGTAAGCAAAACTATTCCAACAATTTTTAAAACACTTTTTGATCTGAAATACTTTTTTTTTTCATTTTTAAAACATATTCTCATTGATTATTTTGATTCATTGGATTTGTTTTAAAAATATTTACAAAATATTTTCTTCCTGAATTTAACATCAATGATTGCGTAAAAATTTTAACAATTATTGATGTTATGCAAAAAAAAAAAACGAATATTCATTCAAAATTGTTATATTAGCTGATCGGAGGTCATCATCATGAATGCTAATCAACTGACAACTGCCAATGCATGATTTTGCAGCCATTTGATTCAGCTTTGTTTGATCTTAATTATTGTCAAATAGGCGAAAACAGCAACGCATACCAATGAACCAATGAACAAAATAAATACTTTATAAAGACAAATCAAAACTTTCAAAAATGCAAATTTTTGTAACAAATTTTTTAATAAATTTAACGGTGAAAAAATGAAATTCATCCATCAATTTTCATACAGAAACCTACGAATTCTCACATATTCATATGTTATGCTATTATTAAAATGAAAATTTTAGCAATAAAAATTTGCCTATTGATCTCAATAAAGTGCATTTTTTGAGTTAATTATAATTTCCATTACATGTATGCAAGTTTTCCATAAGGCTATAAAAGGTCTTTAATATGAAAAGTTTTATTATTTTTACATGTTAATAGGTCTATTTGGTGATTTCATAGCTGCAAATTAGCGTGGGTCAATCAAAAATGGATTATCGAAAAATGATGATGGAAAAATTCAGAAAAATGGTTCATATTACAATTGTGTCAAATCAGTAGTATTAAATAGAAATACATTCCCAAAAACCGTATGCCAACTAATTAATTGATTTAAATCTTAATTTGGCATATTTTCGGCATGAAATACTCCATATGTGAGCAGAAGAATATATTTTTAATTAATATATTATATTTTCCTATTGCGTTTTAATAGCAATAGGAAAATCAAAAATGAAAGCGTAATCAAATTTTGTTAATTTTGAAGGATTTTAAACATTATGATAGAATTTTATAGTTTGCAAAAGCATATATGTAATATAAGAAAACAATTCTAAAATTTTTACTACAATTATGATTATAAATTAAAATTTTAGAGGTTACGTCAAAAAGAGATGCGTAGTGGAACAGCGCTTAAAAGGGAATCTTCATCAGATAGTTCGCCAATTTAGCTATTTGAAAAAAAAAATTTTATATTTTTTGATCTATTTAATTTTTTGTTTTATTCTGTGTTGAATTATAAAATGCAAATGAAGATATAAGCATTTTGCGATATATAATTAAATACATTAGTTGCTATTTTTGATTAATAAAGCAAAAAAGACTATATCAAGTGCAACTAATTTGAAAAACGAAATATTCAGCAGCAAAAAGTAAACGAGAAAGTCGAAAATCAAAAAATGGTGATGAAAAATCAAGTAGGGACGAAAAGAATGATTTTTTTGCCACATTTTCCTTGAGAACCAGACGTGAACGGAAACGTAAGAAAAAAGAAAAAGTAATTGAAAGTAAAAGTAAACGGGAGAAACGGAAAAATACGGCGAAGAAATCACTGGTTTGTATTCATTTATTCCCTTTCTTTCGATGATTTTTTTAGTATGCTAAAATAATTTATTATTAGCATACAAATATATTTGTCGTTTCCATTTGCATTCGTATTTATCAAAGTTCCACGTCTTACGTGTTTATCAATTTAAATTTACGACAAAAATTGATTTATTGCGTCAAATCATTCTGTCATCATTTCGTTTTATTTTGGACTAATTTTGTTAGTTGCATTTGTTTAATTTACAAATATTATAAATTACCAAATTTTATAGCAAATATCAAATTTAGCATTTTAAAATTTCCATTAATATATTATTAAGCAAATGTTAGCACATAGTAATAGTAAAAGTATAGTTATCTGTATATATTAACTTAATTTCCAGATATAAGTAAAGATATATTATTAAAAAATGGTTGTAATTTGAAATGTTGATTTTACTTTTAAACACTTTGAAATTTTTATTTCCAGGAAGAAAAATCGACAAGAGTGAGGAGAAAGAAATCAAGAGAATTTCCGGTTACCGATGAACAGAAAGAGAATTATTTCAATTTTCTACTGGTTACTTAAATTTATCGATTTTTTAATACGCAAATTTTTGGCAAATTTATGCCGAAAAGATTTAAAATTTTCACTTTCCTAAATTATCAAAATGATAAAAGTTTAACGTAATTGATATAATGTTTCAAAGAGTGAAAATTTTGCAATAATTTTGCAATAATTTTTTTTTTTGCAATACGTTTACTACTGATTAATAATCATTTTAGGAAAATAAAAATTTTTTGTACAATCTTTTTTAATTAATTTGATTTCACTAATTTCATTCAGGAAATGTTTGGAGTTGGTGTAAAAGGAATCGTGAAACAATTTCAAACTGATCTAAAAACCTATATTCCAACAAATATGTCACATATAGCATTCGATAAGAATATGAAAAAAAATCGTTACAAAGGTTTTGCTATTACTTTAAATTTAACCTAAAATAAAATCCTTCCTCTAACGTTTAATTTATGGTTCATGCATATATTGATTAAAAATGCTAAATTGAAGCAATTATTAGTAGAAGATAAAATTGATTATTAAAAAAGCGAAATAATAAGTACATTAACTCAACTATTGTTAAACAGCAAATAATTTGATCTTTTCTTTTGCAATTGTAATGATAATGATGATAATTTTTAAAAATTTCAACCGATTTCTAAATTTCACAAGAATACTTCAAAAATTTTTCTGAACAATTAGTTATACTACTGCTGATAATAGCATATCATTTTGCACATATTCAGGAGTAAAATTGCTTACCGTATCAATCTAATGGTTTTAATCGCTACCGTAACCGTAAGGTTACGGTAGCGATTAAAAAGTACCGTTTATTAATGACCTTTTTATTAATAAAGTAAAGATGTTCTATGCATTGATGAGACACGTGTGATATTGCAAGAGAGAGAAGCTGATTACATCCATGCAAATTACGTTAAAGGCGATCCTTTCATCAACTGTTTCATTTGTACTCAGGTAAGGCAATAATTATTCTAACTGACTATTAACAAATTTTAATTGATTTCTAATAAATTAATTTTCCAAAATGTAAGAGCTAATTTTTTTTCAAATTCAAAAAACCTCTTTATATTTTCTTATTAATGTATTTTTTATGTATTTCTTTCTAATAATTTATCATTAAACATTATTTCCAACATAATAACACACTTTTGTAATTAACAAAAAAAAATATGTTTTAAAATTTTGTTTAAATTTTTCAAAATAAATTTGTTATGTTAATGAAATTTTTTTGAAAATTTGTCATGAAAGTATGTACTAATTCATTATCACGCAAATATAAAAATAGATTTATTATTAGAGAAAAAAATAAGCATTAATCAAAATTAATTAATTAATTACAGGGACCATTGGAAATAACAGTAAATGATTTCTGGATTATGGTAATGCAAGAAAAAGTAGGTAATATTGTTATGCTATGCAATATTATTGAAGCAGGAAAAAGTAAATGCTTCCAATATTGGCCACAAGATGTTGGCTCATCGCTTACATTTGGAGGTGGCTTACATTTGTTTACATTTGGAGATTAATTAATATCAGTATTACGGATTTTTTTCATTCACAACTCAATTTTATTTTTATTTGTTTAAAAATCTTAATTTCAATAAAAGCACATACCAGGAAAACGGAAATTAATTTTTAAATAAAATCAGTTATTATAAAAAATTATGTAACAAAATGGTTTACAATTTGTAAAATTTTCTAATGAATCATCTAAAAACATTATTTACTCAATATATGCTAATTTCCATGTTAATCTCAAACATTATTTAAACTTTTCCGGTCTTAGCTAAAATAATTCTGATCAAATGATTAATCCATGCACTTACACTTCCGTTTCAATCTTTGTATTCAATTAAATATCACAACATTCCTTTGTAAAAACCGTTCCTTTCTCATAACTATCTCGTTATCCATCGTATTATATCTCAACACATGCCCATCTTTTAACCAGTCTAAATACCCATACAAAATTTCAAATATCAATCGAGCCTGATTCATTCTAACTTCGACGGGCATTAAGCGACGTTACTACTCTCCAAATTGTTATTACTCTCCAAATTCTTAATCCAAATCTCTTAATTTCTTCACTACACTAAATTATTGAGAAATATTGAAATATCATATATATTTAATTTTAGCAAATTATTTATCTTTATTTATAAATTTCATAAAAATAATTATTTATTTTAATAACATATAGATTAGGAATAAAAAATCAATAATCAAAAAATAAATGAGCTGTTTTGAAATAATTTTTATTCCAATAATTAGCGTAACTAATGAGCTAAGAAAATGTTTTAATATGATATCGTATTAAAGATGTACAGGTGACATGTGCTGAGGTTGACGATATCAAAGATACAACTTTTATAATATCAACATTACAAGCTAAAAATACAGATATCCGATTGACTATCAAGCACATACGATGGAAAGAATGGTATTAATTTTCTTTTTAAATTTAATTCTGAAAAAAAAAGAGAGAAAAAATGTTAAATCATATATTATTCGAATAAAAAGTTTTTTTTTTAATTTTATAGTTTATTAAAGGCCTGACAAAGGTGTGCCGTCAAGTCTATTAGCTCCATTTCGGATATTGAAAATTGTACGACAGTCATTGCATCGTGTTACGGTTGTTCACTGTTCAGCAGGTATTGGTCGTACCGGCTGCATAGTTGCTATTGAAATGGCCTTGCAACAGATTCTATCCGGAAAACCGTTATTTCTCATCGATATGGTTAAAAGATTAAGATGTACTATTTCTCCCTTTCTTTTTTTCTCTTGAATTTAATATTTTATAAAATTATGCAACGAATTTACCAACAGTTGCAGAAATATTTTTGCGAACAAAATAAGTAGATTTAGCGCACTGATAGCAGTTAATAATCAACATTTTAATTAAGTGTCTTAATTAATTAGATATTGAGGTATCAGTTGCTAATGTTACTAAGTGATTTTTGTTTTACTTCGATACATTTATTTTTAAAATAATAGTAAAGAGTTAATTACTTTCCAAGAAAAGGAAATTTCAAATAATTAAGGCATTTAAGAATGAAACAGATATTTAAAAAAGCGAAAACTTTTT